AATGCCAGGACCTGCAGCAGGAGCACCCACGGCCCCACCACCACTAGGACTCACAGCACCCCCAGAGTCAGCACCCCCAGAGTCAGCACCCCCAGAGTCAGCACCCCCAGTCTCTGCACCCCCAGTCTCAGCACCGCCAGTCTCAGCACCCCCAGGACCAGCACCTCCTGCGTCCTCACCCCCAGTGTCACCACCCCCAGCAGCACCAGTGTCCACAGCTACATGCTGCAGAGGCGGCGAAGACGGTCGGGGCGGAAAACCAGGAGGGGTCTCCAAGCGTGGAGAGCAACGAGTGGTTGCCGTGTCGTCAGCGGCGGGGTCACCCCCCTCAGCTGGGCCTTTGGTGTCACAAGAGATCACCAAAGGCTCAACCAAGGGGGGTGGGTCTACCTGAGACACACCTGAGGGAGCAGGACCCAGTGGGGGGAGGGGGTCTACTGGAGGGGGAACTGGTACCAGGAAGAGAGGCGCCAGGGGGACCAGGTGGGACGCGTGTGGGTGGAGCCTGTAGAAACAGACAGACTCGTCAAAGGTGACGTCCTGAGAGGACAGGACTCGACGCGAGCGAGGGTGGTAAAACTGCCACGGCGGGGCGTCGGTGGGGAAGCCCAGGAAGGCGCAGCGGAGAGTGCAAGGAGAGAGCTTATTCGCAGTGGTATCACGAACAAGGGAGAGCGCGCCCCAGACCCGAAACGCCGACGCATCGCCAACCTCTCCCGTCCAACGGAGTGTGGGCGAGGTCTCTGGCAAAGAGACACGGGGCCAGAGGTTGAGCTGATGCGCAGCGTATCGGACCGCAAACGGCTACAGAAAATGAGGAGCAGCCGCTTGGATCATGGAGGTACGAGCAACCTCCATTATCAAGCCAATGCGACGCTCAGCAATCCCATTTTGCTGCGGAGAGGCCGGAAGCGTGAACGACTGGACGATGCCCTCGTCTCGACAGAGCTCCGCAAGGAGGCCGGAAGAGAACTCACCGCCCCTATCAGAGTGCAGACACAGGACTGGAATGTCCCGCCGAAACCGCTCGCGCAGCTGGTGACGAGTAGCGCGGATCCAGGGGATCAAAACACCTCGGACGTCCGCCTTGCTGCGCAAGGGGAAGACCGTGGCGTAGCGCGTGTAGTCGTCAACGACCAGCAGGAAGTAGCGCTCCTGGTCCGTCCCACGGACGTTGGCCGGGCCCCACACGTCCATGTGGAGAGTCTGCAGAGGAGCAGTGGTCGGAGGAAACGAGGAGGAGTGAGGAGCGGCGCGCTGCCGCCCTCGACGCAGGGAAGGCACGCGGGGCAAGCGAGCGCGGGAGGGAGGGCAGGGACCTGGGAAGGCCAGAGACAAGGAGACAAGAGTGCATGTTGCGCAGACACGGCAGAGAGGGGTGACCGAGGCGTTGGTGCCAGAGGAGAGTCTGGTGGGAGAGTACCCGACACGAACACGACGCAGCGAGCTGACCAGGCGCAGACACCTGACTCGACGCAGCCACCTGACCTGACGCAGCCACCTGAGCAGACGCAGTGGTCAAGGTGTACAGACTGGACCCAGGCTGCCGAGTGAACGTAGCAAGGTGACGGCCAGTCCGAGAGCACGTACAGATCGCCAGAAGCTTCCTTCCAGGAGTAAAGGTATCAACCCTAACATCCTGAAGGACTGCGTTGCTCACCACGTTCGTCGAGAACGAGGGGAGGTGGAGACCTGAAAGAGAGCCGGAGGGGACTGCTGGACACGGGAGGACAGTGGAGGCTCGTGCGACGATAGGGCCCCTAGAGGGGTCAGCCAGTGAGACCGGGACCGGTGCAGCGAGCGGTGTGACTGTGGTGCAATCACGAAAGAAGCAACGAGACGCACCATAGTCAAGTGTGAAAGTGTGCAAGGCCGCAGCTGAGGCAGCAGACTCACTAGCAGCAGACTCACTAGCACATGTGGCAGCAGACGCACTAGCACCTAGAGCGGCTGCAGACTCACTAGCACCTAGAGCGGCAGCAGACTCACTAGCAGCGCAAGGCACACACGAGTAACAGGCACCCTCAGCACTAATAACATCCACATACATAGCATAGAGTCCCTTGTTGATAGCAGCAAAGTCAAGAGCAAACACATCTACTCCCTTTGCTATCAATCCCAGCCAGTTGGGGACCTCCTGCTCATCACCGTACTCAGCCACCCAGGCATCCTCAAGACGACCAAAGCAACGATACTCAGCGTGCCCAGGGTTCCCGCAGGTCTGACCCTTCTTGGGCCCTGCGGCCTGACATACGAGCAGCGACCAGAGCCCCCAGGGGAACCACGCTGGACAACCCACTCACGAAGCTGCTAAGGGGTGGGTGTGTCCGAGAGGCGTGGGAGCTGCGGTCCACTCCCATAGCCTCTGCCGCCACGAGATGCGCCCCCAGAGCCTCCACCCCTGCCAGCTCCACCACGCCCGCCTCCACCACCCCCGCCGCCTCCACCGCCTCCACCTCCGGTGCCACCTCCACCGCCTCCACCCCCGCCACCACCACCCCCGCTACCACCACCGCTAGCGCCACCCCCACCTCCCTTACCCCCCTTGCCCTTGCAGATGCGGCGCCTATCACTAGGAGCAGACGCAGTGCCGACTTCCTCAGCACCAAGGAGGTCGACAGCAGCAGCAGTGGCAACTGAGGGTATGAGAGGGGAGGGAGCACACCCTTCAAAGAAGGGGGGGCGGGGAGTGCCACGAGAGGCAGCGACAGCGACAGGTCTCAGCCTCGAGAAGGTACTTCTCCAGCGAGGCAAGCGTGAGCTCAGTGCGGTCAAGGGCGAGAAAGTGGTCCCTAACTGTGCGGAGGGAGCTCGGGAGGCGGGTGACAAGGAAGTACAGGGTGATATAAAGCGGGGGGAGGGGGGGGTCTCTTTGAGGAAGGCCGGTTTGAGAGCGGCGCGGTAGCGAGTCTCACTAGAGCGAAGGTGGGTCATGAGATCAGTAACAGTGCTGAAATCTGTGAGCTCAGGAAAGAGGCACGGCAGAATGAGGCGGCCTAGGGCAACAGTAGCTAGGGAGGAGTAACGAGCGACAACTGCGTCATAGAGGTCTTTGGCTGTCTTCTGCTGGCCAAAATGGGCTCTCTCAGCTAGCGGGAGGTGATTGCGGACAGCAAGGCGGGCAGTAGCGTCACGTGTGAGCCACTTCGAATGATCTGAGCGGTCGGCTGTAGCAGGTGGGGCGAGGAGGGATCCGGACGTATGTTCTATCAGTGAAACTCCATTCTCAGCCTCGCTCTGCAGGAACAGCTGAAGATCGTCGAGCCAAACGTCAAAGCTAATCAGGCGACCCTCCGCATCAAAGCTAAGAACCAAGATGGTGGCCATAGTAGCAGGAGCAGCAGTAGCAGCAGCAGCAGCAGCAGCAGTAGGGCTGTGCGGCTCGGTAGGGGCAGGGCAGCGCGGCTCGGGCAGGGCGGCGCGGCTCGGGCAGGGCGGCGCGGCTCGGGCAGGGCGGCGCGGCGCGGCGCGGCTCAGGCAGGGCGGCGCGGCGCGGCAGGGCACAGCGCAGCAGCGCGTGCGGCAGCAGCAGCTCAGGCGCAGCAGCGCGGTTGGCAGCAGCTGCGCAGCAGCAGCAGCGTATGCAGCAGCAGCAGCAGCAGCGCCTGTGGGTAGGGGCGCTCGCGGGCAGGCAGCACGCGCGCAGGCAGGGGGCTCGCGCGTTTAGCAGCGCGGGCAGGCAGCGCGTGCGCGCAGGCAGCGCTCACGGGCAGGCAGCGCCAGCGGGCAGGCAGCGGGTGCTCGGGCAGGCAGCTCGCGGGCAGGCGGCGCTCGCGGGCTGGTGGCACTGGCGGGCAGGCAGCTCGTGCGCGGGCAGGCAGCTCGCGCGGGCTGGCAGCGCGCGTGCAACAGGTAGCGTGCGTGCAGGCAGGTAGCGCGCGTGCAGCAGGCAGCGCGCGTGCAGGCAGGTAGCGCGCGTGCAGCAGGCAGCGCGCTAAGGCAGGCAGCGCGCGTGGCAGCAGGGCAGCGCGACGCTGTTCGAGCAGGGCAGGGAAGCGCGAGGGCGCTTTGGGCAGGGTCGAGCGGATCGATTTGGTGGGCCCTAAAAAATCTAACCGTGTTCCTGCTCTGAAACCGTGTCGAGAGAACTATGCAGGAATGATGAATGACTAGCAACAGGGAGATACAAGTATGAAACCCTAACTGGGGTTGTACTCTATACTGAGCACCTCACAGTAGCCTAGCAGAACTAAGAACATACAAATATGTTTTGACACGGGGTCCAGGCCCCACGATATCAGGGTAAAACATCCTGATTACCCTGATTTCAGGATGTTGTGGGGGGTTCTCCCTGAAAGTTCAGGATAATGCTAGTTTTAACCCTGTGACTTCAGGAAAAATGTATTTTTATGCCCTGAACTTTCAGGAAGGCCGTTTTTTTTCCCCCTGAAACAACAGGATGGATATCGAGCGATGCCCTGACGCGAATACCGAAGGGGAGGGAAGGGGGAAGGGGATGAGGTAGGGGGGGTGGATGGGGGGTGGGGGGGGGGTGCGTTTTCCGCCTTCGAGGATTTTCCCTGGCCACTTTAATGGCCAAACACATCTCTGGACATCATGCACGCACGGTCGTGAGGTGGCAGGTCAAGGCACGAGACGACCTGCACATCTCGTTCCTTCTCCTCTATGGTAGATTTTGTTTTACATGTGCAATCAGAAATACCAATCAGGGTTATAAAAAGACAATGACCTGATGTGACAGGATAAATTTCAGCTGGTGTCCTGAAAATTCAGGATGCCCATGAGTTTTTGCCCTGAAAAATCAGGGTATTCTGAGACCTTTTTTAAATCTGCCCTGAGGGCTCAGGATGCCTAAAATCCTAGCATAGGCCCTGACGGGGTCCTCGGGATCGCCAAGGTTTGTATGCGCCAAAATCGGAAGCACTACAATTAATCTAGGCACAAACATCCGGCTACACTGCATTCTGTATAAACGTGTAATCAGCACTTCAACAATGTACACAAAAACAGCACCAGATTTTAGTGCACAGAAATGTCAACTACTTCTGAACGTAGCCCTCCACAATGACATCCTCACCGCACACATGCGCATGCAGACCATGCAGAGGAAACATCTCTCCCATGTCACCTTCAAGCCAGCCGCCATTGCTGCTTGCTGCTCCCCTAGGCGCGCTACCACCCAGCACAGGTGAGAGGGCAACCACCACCTTCTCCACTGCGTCATCCTCCATCAGCCAGCTCCCCAGCGACCAGCCCTCGCCGTCACTGGAAGAGCTCTCGCTGTTACTCTCACTGCTGCTGCTGCTAGCAGCCACGCCTTGCAGTACCGGGTGCCAATCCCAGAGCACGGAGTTGCAATCGCGCTCCAGACACAGCTCCATGACGTCAGACGGGGAGAACTCATCCGGCAGCACCACTAAATCCACTCCACACTCCCCCAGCCACTGCTCTGCCGCCGCGCGGCCTGTTGCCGATGCTGCACTCACGTCCACCACCACAGCAGACTCGTTCGTGACCACGAGCGTGGGAGCCAGTGAGGTGTCGAAAATGGGCGCGGAGCGAGGGAGGTGCGCGAGGGATCGAGCAACAACCACACGCAGAGGCTGCTGGCAATCAGGCTCCGAGGACAGGAGGGACGCTGGGCTGGTAGAAGCAGCATCGGCATCGTCATCAGCAGATTCGGCAAGGGAGGCGTGAGCAGCGACAGCGGTGAGGAGGTCAGTGTCTGTGACAACAGCAGCGTCATACTCAGCCAGGAGCTGGCTGCGGTAGCTGCCGGCAGCACAGCCCGACGTGCCTATGGACGGGAGGAGCGAGCCTGAGAGAGAGAGCGAATAGCTGCACAGCAGGGTGGATTGGTGGGTTTAGAAACACGGGTGGTGGAATGGCAAGCAAGAGGTGGCGGGGTGGGGGGAAAAAGAGGGGGGGGGGGGGGGGGGGGGGGGGGGGGGGGTGTAGGGGAGTGGAAGGGCATGTTGAGAAGGACAAGCACAAGTGAAATTAAATGGTGATGTCTACCTGAAATCACCAACAAGATCAAAGCTGGAGCTACATACGCCAATAGCAGCATGCGGAAACCTCGACTCCGCCCAAAACACCTCCCACAACCTCTCAATTCTCCAGCCCTGCGGTCCACCCAGTCCCGTCCGCTTGTGGCGCACAACGCACCGCAGAATGGAATAGGGGCGATGGTTGGCGATGCGGAACATGAACGCCTCCACGTTGCGCCGGCACGCCGCCTCCTCCACGCCCACCACCACCTCCACGCCCGACCGCCGCAGCGTCTGCAGGCCCTCCCCGCCCACGAGGGGGTTCGGGTCCACGGTCCCCACCACCACGCGCCGCACGCGCGCCTTCACCAGCGCCTGGCTGCACGGCGGCGTGCGCCCGTGGTGGTTGCACGGCTCGAGCGTCACGTACGCCGTCGCGCCCGCTGCTGCCTTGCCCGCTGCTCTCAGCGCGAACACCTGGTGACGGGTGAGGGAAGAGGGGGCGGCATGAGGGGGGAACGGTGCGAGGGAGGACTGAAGACATGCCATTACATTTCACAATAGCCCTGCCAGCCACCTGCCATGTCATGCCATTCCTCGCAGGTGCAATGTGCCATGTGCCATGTTGCATGCTCGCAGGTCACTTAAAGCCATGCTTCGCGCTGTGCAGCTGCCGTCGCTTCTTACCTCCGCGTGCGGCTCGCCAGCCTTGGGATGCCAGCCTTCTCCGATAATGTTACCGTCCTTCACAATCACGCACCCCACCATCGGGTTCGGCGACGTGCGTCCCAGCGCCTGCCTCGACAGCTCGAGAGCGCGCCGCATAAAAGCCGCGTCCTCAGGCCTTTCACCGTCCGCCATAGCCCGCATTCCGCGGACCCTCTGCCCCCCCTCCATCTCTTGAAGCTCCCCTGACACCAGGTCTCCGCCCCTCTGCGCGCTCCTGCCGCGCTTCTGCATTCGCGACGCTTTGTTGACCGAACTGCCGACGCTTCTGTATTCTCGCAACCATAGCTTTTTCTCCAGAAACACAGGAGAAAGGTTGAGGGATGAGAGAGGCAATGGCCGGAACGCAACAGTTCGGCCGGGAAGTCTTTGCACGCAGGCATTGGCGCAAGTGGCGGCGGAGAAGATGGCGACAGCAGCCATTTTGGCAAACGTTGAATGTGCTAACCAGCTGAGAATTGCACGTCCTTCGTACATCGCAACTACTCTTCTAAAAGTGAACGAAGACATGATGCCTGTTATAAGCTGAAATGAAGAATGAACACAAACAAATGTTGCAACATAGGATAAGGGCGTGCAACCATTCTAAAAAACGCTGAAGTATGTACCATGTGCGACGCCCTACGTTCGTTTACGTCCTTTTGCGACTTCGTATGGGAGCAATGCGACGCACTGTTTCCAGCGAAAAATAAGGGTTTAACAACCATATTGACGACTTCCGTCGACACCTGTTACCGCATAGAAACGTCACGCCCATCGTACACACAAAGGAAATGCAAAATGGTTACACGCCCTAAAAGTATGAAAAGATGGTAGGAGAAGTGGAAAGAGAGTGGGAAGTAGAGGAGATGACGATAAAAAAGAGCAAGGAAGAAAAGAAGCATAATGAGAAATAAAAGAAGAAAAGTGGGGTATGTGTCAGGATCTCAGTCACAAGACCACTGGGATAAAATGGGTTGTTACCGTCCAACCCCGGATATAAGCGCCACGGCGCTTATAATAAAATCGGTTTTTTTAGGGGTGGCGCTTGTAATTGAATAACGGCCATAAGCGCCGGCGCTTATATAATGACAAATACAAATTTTTACTTTAAAGGTACCAAACTGTACCTTTCATTGTTGCCATTTCAAACGAGTCGAAATAATATAGCGTCACAAAGCAGAATCGCGCGCAAGCGATTCTGCTTCCTGTACACGGGCAAATTCGCGTCACTTCGCAGGCATGCCAGCACATCCTGACTGGACGCGCAGCCAGTCTGGTCTTCGCGAGTCAAACGAAGCGAAAATGAATTTTGACTCGCTGCAAAACTGAAATTCGTTACCGATTAAAACTGAGATTTAAATTAAAAATGGGGGGGCGCTTATAATAAGTAATGGTTTTCCAGGGGGGGCGCTTATAATCGAGTTTCGGCCATAAGCGCCATGCTCCAGATAGAAGCGACGGCGCCTGTAATAGGCCGGCGCCTATATCCGGGGCCATACGGTACGTAGCGGGCCAGTGCGCCCATAACCCCCCAGGCAACAGTCCTGTAACATTTCCTGTTATCAATCGGAGATCCACGGCGTAGGTCGTCTGACAAAGCGTACATCCTCACACAGCCAAGCCCTATGTTATCAAGGATTTTTCCCTGAAATTCCTGATATTCAGCATAGTTTTGTGTACCCACGCTGATTTTTCAGAGTTGAGATTTTTGTGACACTATTTTTTCAGCCTTATTTTCCTAGTTAACACAGATTTTCCAGGAATTTTTTTCTAGGCACACTGATTCCACAGCGTTGTAACGAAACTAACACTGAATGCGATTCTTACACGTTCACGTGGGTTTGCCCGGAATTACAGGGAATCGCAGATTCCCGCGGTGTCTGCACCGCCTGGCGGTGACTAATGGACAAATTTGCCCCGTGGTATTCACTGTGCGGGCTGTTTTGTTGGCGCGACGTGTCTGTTCATTGGCCTGTTTTGCTCAAAGGGTTGACCAATGACGGCGTTGCAACACAGCACGGGTGGCAGGCTGCGAGGGTTTCTGGACCGTTGCTTGCACCTGTGGCGCGGTTTATCTTGGTCGTGCTGGCAAGCACTGATGCTGCCAAGACGGGTTGCATTGCATCCACGCCACGCCACCCAGCCTCTGTACCTGCCATCCAGGCTCCCCTTCTGCTCCATTCTTTCCATTCGATTGGGGTTTCCCTGCTTTCCAGCCTAGTGTACCAAGAGGGAGTCAGCCGTGGCGAGGGGTATGCTCTGGCAATCCTCTCTTCATCCTCACTCGTACCTTGGATTAGTTGCTGTTTAGTAGCGCTGCAAGCTATGCCGGACCCCCATGTCGGCCCCAAAATTAATGGCGATCAAGGCGAAAATGCGCTTCGTAGTCCGCCAACTAATGTTTCCGATGTTGTTACCGGCCTAGATCTACTTTTCTCTACCCTAGCGCAAGTCGACAACCACGGAAAGGCACCTGCAGTCGCGCCGCCCGACTATATTCCGTTCGAACCCATCGATGCTGAGGGGTTGTGTGCATCCCCTACTGCGCCTGTGATGGAGCAAGACAGCTCCTCGCCTTCTCTATAAAAAAAAAAAGCGGCAGTACCCGTGGCTAAGAAGAACGGGAATTTCAGACAATCAACGCTGCCATGGTGCACAAAGGGCGTTGACGAGCGAGCTACACCGCCTTCGCCAGCCGACGAACGGTCGGCCCCCGTCATCGCTGGCACGCAGTTGTCACCATCTGTTCCTGGGCCTTCTAAAAACCCTGGCCGTGTCGAGATTTATGCCGAGGCTCTTTACAAGTATAAAAGCGAGTGGCTCCCTAGGTTTTCGTGGCTGATTCTGCTGAAAACTAATGACGATCTCCCCGCTTTCAAGTGTACTATCTGTACGGAACACGCAGGCTATGCTGGACCGTGCGGGAGAGGCGGTAAAGGCACCACTGACGTACAAACACAGGCGTTCAAGAGGCATGCGTCTACAACCAAGCACAAGGCCGCGATCGAGAGCCAGGAGAAACTACTTTTTGAAGCTGGCAAGCAGCCTCGGATCAACGCGGACAACCTTGCTCGCGACACCCAGAAGGAACGTGACATCGAGCTGCTCGACTCCCTCCTTTTTGTCACCAAGCAAGATGCACCCATAGAGTTATGGGTGCAACTTTGTTTGCTACCTCGCGGCGAAGAAGGTTCCTGGTTTCCCCGCGAAAGGTTATGGAACGTATTACACTACGTGAGTACCCGGTTTCATCCATTGTAAGCTATAGTTGTGATTCGCATTTTATTATCTCTAACATTGTCTTGTTTCACATGCGCCACAGATACGGCTTTGGGCAACTGACGCAGTCGATGGCCACGTGGCTGCACACAACGCAGCTCCAGCACATCCTTTCAAGCCCGTACATCGGCGTTACTTGTGACGAGAGCACGGACAGGTGTCCGGGAAAGCACATGATAATCTTTTGCACTTTCATCCGTGGGAACCGTGTCGTCACGGAGTTCCTTGCTCTGCTGACTGTGGAGAAGGGCGATGCCGCCTCTCTCCTCTCAGTGTTCGTGTCCCACCTGCAGGCCCTTGTCAGAATGTTATATTATCTAGCCTGCAGTGGGGTGCTCTATAGCGAGTACAACCCAGTTAGGGTTTGCTATATGTATCCCAACTGCTGCTAGTGAACCTCCTCTTTCTGTTTCTGAACTTTCTGCTCGTAGTTCTGACATGGTTTCAGAGCAGGTCGATCCCCTTGGGTCGATCCTGTGGGTGGGCCCACCACCTAACTGCTTCCGCTGCTCTACTGCTGTCGCGCGCCCCGGGCGCGTGACCCTTGGTTCCTGCCGTGCGTTTTTTCATCCCGCCGCGCGCTCGGGGCGCGCGGCGGTTTTCTGCCCGCCGTGCGCCCCGAGGCGCGCGGCGGTTTCCTACCGTGGGGGACCCGCGCGCAGCCCCCGCCCTGTCCATCCCGTCGCCCGGCGCGGCGTCCTGAGGGATCCGCGCGCGCCCCCCCCCCCCCCCGCCATCCCGTCGCCCGTCGCGGCGCCCAGGGGGGCCGCGCGTCGCCCTGCCCGTCGCCCGTCGCGGCGCCCTGGGGGCCAGCGCGTCGCCCCCCCCCCCCCTCCCGTCGCCCGTCGCGGCGCCATGGGGGGGCGCGCGTCCCCCCCTCCCGTCACTCGTCGAGGCGCCCTGGGGGGCCGCGCGTCGCCCCTCCCGTCGCCCGTCGCGGCGCCCTGGGGGGCCGCGCGTCCCCCCCTCCCGTCACTCGTCGAGGCGCCCTAGGGGCCCGCGCGCCGCCCCGCTTCCGCTCACGCACCGCCCCAGGTGCTGCCCCCGTTTTTGCCCTGCGTTTGGGGGTATGGGGGTGGCGGGTATGGGGGTGGCGGGTGTGTGATCCGTCCCCTACTCCTCCTCCTCCTCCGTCTCCCACTGCTGCAGCTGCCGCTGAGGGGGGTGGGTGTGTGGGAGCCGAAGGAGTGGAACTGGGGGGTGACGTGGGAGTGGAGTTAGGGGTGAAGCAGGGGGTGTGTGTCAGGGGGGTGGGACTGTTTGGGGAGGCTGAGAGGAGGCTGCCGTCGTGTCGTCCGCAGTGCCTATATTCCGGGGCACTTGCTCCCGGTAGCTCAGAGAGCCTGATGCACCTGTCGCCCGTGGGTCCGTTGCTCCTGCCGCTCGTCGCAGCCGCAGAGCCTGTTACTCCTGCATTCCGGGGCACTAGCTCCCGGTAGCCACTGAGTCGCAGAGCGCACTCCTGTTGCCCGTGTGTCTGCAGCTTCAGCCGTCGTCTCCTATCTTCTTTTCCCTTACGGTTCCTCCTCCTCCTCACTTGCCCTTTGTGGTTGCCTCAGGCTTTGCTTATTATTTGTGAACTCTATGAGCTGCTGCTTGCTGTGCTGATTACACCCCACTTTGGCTATGGGGGTGTGTCAGAATGTTATATTATCTAGCCTGCAGTGGGGTGCTCTATAGCGAGTACAACCCAGTTAGGGTTAGCTATATGTATCCCAACTGCTGCTAGTGAACCTCCTCTTTCTGTTTCTGAACTTTCTGCTCGTAGTTCTGACAGCCCTCGGCATTGATCTTGCCAGGATCGCCGGCATAAGCACCAACGGCGCGAGTGTGTTGATGGGGAAAAAGAACGGTCTGGTAGCTCGACTCCGCCTCCGCATACCGCATCTCGTCTCAAGCCACTGCATCGCCCACAGGTACGTTCTTAGTTCAGTTTCAGCTGCTCTGGTTTACCTGTAGCATCCCGTGCTCAC